GTGTGCATCCCAATCAATCAACCAGCTCCCCTCCTGCACTGAGTGCTGAGGGACCCACTGACTTTTGCACATAGCGGGAGGCAGCTGGAGCCCAGCCTTCCCAGAGCAGACAAAGACTCGCTTGGTGCAGCACTCTCAGCATCACTGTTACCAGCAGCATCCCCACATTCACCAGCATACAAAGATAGAGCAGGGGAGAACGGCACAAAGGCTATAACCAGTCAGATATGGCTATACAGCCTACCTGTACATCAAAGCTGCTACTTGTTACACTGTAATGCACAATGAATTGTTCTTTGAAGTTCCAAAGTGCAATGTACACTTTTTGATGTGACATTTACTTAGAAATTGATTTCTAGGATGAATAAAGAGCATCATGAAGTCATCTTTGAATTTTAGTGAAACACTTTTGCTTTCAGATACAGCCTCCTTGTGATTTTTCTAGATGGATTTACAATATGTCTCATGAATTACTACCTTCAACATGAAGAAGAAAGATGGAAATGATAAAAGGTAGAAATGAAGGAGTTCCCTTTGGTAATCATTTCTTGTCCAGCCAGATTTGTCATCTGAGCATACTCATTTAATACTGATATAAGATTGATTTGAGCTGATGAAATCAAACGGGATGGATGCATTTCCCAGGTGTCTGATTGAAGCAAGTGTCTGGGCCATATGATTATGTGATTGCATTGGAAAACTAATAGCATTACTGTGTCCTCTGTGATTGTGGTCAAGCTGTAATTTCCCTGCCTCTCCTTTTTTCTCCCCAGCTCCTGTAAAATGATGAACACAAACTACCAGCTGCTCGCAAGTCACTCTACAAAAGTGCTACGATGTGAATGCACAATCAATCTGTAAGAAATAGCTTTAGTTAATTTTTTTTTTCATAAAGTGTTGACACTGTTTCTGGAGATTTGGCCGTGAGCCAGACAAACAGAAGTGAAATAACCATCAGAACTACAAAAGCTGATCCGGTGGCAGGTACGACCTGCTCTGAGCTATGTTCTTAATTATGAGTAACCTCATTCCCTTAAACCACAATCCAACTGAACCTGCAGCAGCAACAGTTGAAACCCCATCTGCAATTTGTTACCCCCCGACTGACATGGCTGGCCACGCACCCTGGTTGATATGTATTAGAAGATTGGTGGCGCTGTGATTGAACGCTGGTCTCTCATTACCACATTTAAAGCAGTTTTGTACAAGATAAAAACAATGTGCTCTATGAATTACATCGTTCCAACAGGCACAGCTTTCCTCTCACACACAAAAAGGAAAGCCAGGATATCTAAAGATAGAGCAGGCCAATTGCTGAGAAAATTATTTACACATTTGATGCTCTGCCCACTGAGACCAATTAGGATAGTAAACTTGTCTGGCTTGAGTCATACAGCAAGAGGTTTTTGTAGTTTCTCTTGGCAGTAAGAGATAGGTTGGTGTTGCTGTTTTTCCTTTGAAAACAAATTCGATTTTTCTACTTCAGTAGAGTAATTGATAGGCAAGGAGCTAAACATCTCTGCTGTAGTCCAGAAAATGTGAATTTTAGTAACTGTTGTGTTCACGGAGGCATAAAAGGCTTCTTAAAATAACTGCATGGGATGGAATTACTTGTTTCTAGTGCACTTACTACTAACTAATATTCTCAAATCAACTGAAGAAATGCAGCATGCCTTTTATTAAAATATTGTCCTTCTCATTGTGTTTGTCTTGTATGTCAACATTACTGTAAATGACGCACAAGTACATCTGCTGGTGCGTCAGGACACATGTTCAGTGATGTTCCTGGAATCACTGGGTGTTATGGGTCTTTCAGCACCATACACCCTCCTCCGGACAACCTCCAGACCTCAGCTTGTGTCCAGACGACTAGCTACTTGCTCCATGGTTCTCCTCACAATCTCTCCCCCTCTACTCCTGTTCTCGCCTCCCCCTGAGCCAGGCAGCTCTTCTCCTTCTCTTTGGTAGCGTATATCTGTAAAGGTTGAAAAATACAAGCCCTGTTCTGCCTTTAGTCACCACTTCCATCAGTTTATTTTGTTTCAGCCTTGACTCTGCCTGTTGAACAGCTTCCTCTGCTTGCCATTTTCTCCGAGGTCAATCAACTCCCTGCATAGTTCATACCACCTTGAAATCCTCTTCTAAGGATCTGAGTGGCAGTTGTAGCCTTTTGTATCTATAGAGTGTGATATTGCTCAGACTCATAGGGTGACAAGTTATTTTCCTTTTCAGGATCTCGACTGTCTCAACTGGCACCTCGTACACCGGGGGATGGCCACAAGATTCTGGGCAGCATACCATGAGGGAACAACCATATTATAAACTTTCCTGGCAATCCTGAACCTGGATCCTGCTCTCCAAAGGAATGCAGATGGACTGGATGGATGATGTATCCCTCAGGGTGCTGTCAAACACATTGCAGAGACTCTGTGGGGGATGGTTACACCTCCAATGCTGAAATGAAAGGCGTCGACCACCTTTTCTCTCTTAAGCACCAGTGATCTAGACTTGGCTGGTTTGGGTCCTCTCAGCCTGTTGTTACTGCTCCAAAGGACCCCTCTTAAAGTTGTTGTAATAGTCAGCGATGATGATTTTGGGTTCTGCCGGGTACATGATGTTTTGCCAAAGTGATTTGTACCTGCTTATGGAGGCCACATAAGCTGTAATAGTCAACAGTGAAATTGAATTAGTACTGATGTAAAAACTCTATGTGTGCTCTCTAATGATAGTAGTTATTATTTATTGCCGTCTTTCTTAAAGAACACTATGCTTAGTGGAAGATTACAGTCACTGCTATAAGAAATTTTAGGTGAAGCATCATAAATGTAAGCACAAGTATATAGTCTGCAGTTACCACTAGATATATTTTCTAAGGAACAGTGAATTGTAAATAAATGTATATTGATGGTTTCATTACGAGGTTCATTAGCCATTCTGTGGTGCAAGTGTTCATACGCCAAAATGATACATGCACCAACACAAGTTTGTATTTTATGTGTTAAATAAGTGGTGCCAGGATCATTATAAAATCTTTTAATTGGGTCTTTCTGTTTTCTGCCTTTATTTAAAATGTATTTATGATTATGGGCTCTTTTGACAATTAGCGTTAGAAAATAGCATTTCAATGATTTAAAACACATTAATGTCATTCTTAAAGCGTTGGGTCTGACTGTTGAAAATTCAGCACTGGAGTATAAGGAAATTAGTGTGACTGTGTGGCAATCAGTTAGTGTTGCAATTACTGCCAAGTGAAATATGTTAATGATGGTTAGCTGAAGGTCTGTCTCTTAAAGTATTAAAAGGAGTAAGATAAACTGTCCTGTTTTCTGTTATATTGGTCTATTAAGCTTTATTTATCCGTGTCAGTTGTAGACTAATTGCATCTGACTTGAAATAAATCCAAAATAATGACCAAATCATATGCACAGCTTGAAAAGTATTTTTAAGGAAGTATAGTGTTAGCGGTTGTGTGGTTATACAGAAAAAAGGTAATTTGTCACCTTGTTTATTTCCCTCTGTTTGTGTCCTTGTGTCTAGGCTACAAGTGGTACAGTCTCAAGTGTGTGAGGTTTGTGCATCTGAATGCTGAGTACAGTAGCCTCCATGGTGGCTGTTTTTCATATTCTTCAAGGTCAGAGACAGACAGCTCCATCTGACAGAAGAGCATCTCCTGAATAGGTAAGGACATACCACAGACTGGCTGACAGACAGATGAAACAGTGCCCCCAGCTGGAGGAGTGACCACATCAGGCCCAGACACAAGCATGCATCATTCATGTCAACGCTACAATGGGAGCAATGGTGATCAGAATGCTGAGCAATACCAGTGCATAAAGAAAGATGTTTTCTACATTCTCAGAGAAAATTTGTATTTTACTGTCACCTTTTATCATCTGTCTTCTTTAGCTTGAAAATCAAACCTTTCTGTTGATTAAAAATAATAATCATATGAATGTGCTCCATTTACAGCTGGGTTTAATCAACTACAGTGAAATGTTTAGTGAACAAACACTGTATGCCACGGTCCATGGTTCATGTTTGGATATGTAAATGAGGTTGGTGTATGATTGCCTTGCCACAATGTTATTCCACCCCCTTCCGCTGGAGGGGTGCCCTCCACATGTTTGGTCTGGAGGAAAGCGTCTCCATAGAAACCATGACAACGGTGGCACATGGGGTAGGGGTGACTGGGCAAATGGTTTTTCTTTTGGAGGACAATGGCACTAGGGTGCACTGGCGCTGGGCCGCAATTGAGAGCATCAAGCAGGGATATTGAGTGTCGAACAACAGACACTTACTTTTACCTCATTTAAAGTGCATTTACACACCCAGTGATGAAGATAAATAAATGTATTCTTGTATTCAATACAAAACAAGTGGAATAATGTGTGTGTGTGTGTGTGCAAGGGTTTGCGTGTGTGCCATGCCACTGTGTTTGTGTAGTACCTTCACTGACAAAGCACTTTTAAAGGATTTTTTTTAAATGATAACATAAATCTGGATGATGAACGTAGTCCATTAAGAAATAATCAAAGTTTTACTCAATTTCAAAATTATTATTTTTTTTCTTGATTATTTACAGACAATTGTGGGTTAACTGATGAAGGAGAGAAGAGAGGAAGCAGATAAATATTTTCACAAATCTAAAGTAAAAAAATAAGATATAATATATATCTGCCTCTGATGTTCAATAAATGTTGATGCTAAGATGTTAGGCCCCTCACTCACCCTTTATTTCCTCTCTTCTTCTCTCTGTCCTCTTGATTCTCCCCTCCTACCACTCTCATTCTCTCACTCTCTTACTCGACACTTAATATCCTGCCTCCTATCTAAATCCCATCCAGGATGATGAAAAAGCATGCAGCAAGAGGACCCAGAAAAGACTCATTGTGTTGCATCAATGGCTTGTTGGGAAAGCTCATGGGGAAATCTGACTTTCCCATTCTAATCTATGCAGAGTGAAGCACTGTTGGTGAGCTGGAGTGGGAGGGAGAAGGTGGGCTCAGTACAGAATAGGACCATTACTCCATGAGAGAAGCAGCTCTTGTCCTAATTAGCTTTAAAAGTAGATTCTGAATCAGAATCTCAGTTGAAGATTGTGAGGCGTTAAAGAAAAGAGTTCATCTCAATGATTCTGTCAATGGTGAACTTGTTTGGTGTAGAGACGAGAGCGGCAGAATGAGAGACGAAGTGAGAAAGACAAACAAAGAAGCAAGACAGAGAGACCACTTATAGCCAACTGGCCTGTAGATTTCTTTGCCATGGTGGCCTTAGATTAACTGTCAGAAGCTTGTCTAGACTGAAGCTCTTTCTGATGAATATTAATGGAGAGGGGAGAGGGAAAATGAGAGACTGGCCGACAGTGACAGTGTGAGGCAAGGGGAGGGAGAAGGGCCAGCTTTACTAGCTTTCCATAATGGCCTTTGTTAACAGATG